CGTCAGCCTCTCTGCTCCTATGATGCTGCTTGGCCTGCTGTGTTCATTCAGCCCTGCACCTTGTTGTCTCGGATTCTCCAGCATCTGCAGTTCCTACTATCTCTCATATAAATAACAAGCGGGACAGAACACCAACGGCGCACTGATGACATTACCTAGCAGGGTGATGAAACGTTTGCAATCAAACACACCAGCTAGGCAAGCAAGTCTACAATCTCAAACTCCCAGGGTTGTTTCAATGATTGATTGAGAGACTGTTTACAGAGAAGGCAAGGACAGACTGCAAGATCCATTCACCTTCTTGCTCTTTTGATCAAATCTTTCAGCAGCATAAAGCCTGAAATGTATTATTAGAGGTTTGAAATTTCTTTTAATGGTAAGGCAACATTTTATACATGAGAATTATTTACTAACTTCAGTTGAAAGTAGCCATCATAAACTGATCCACAGATAAACCCATAGTGCTTTCTCCAATCACTTTCTTAAACACCTTGCAGGCATACTGTCCCACTTTGCTTATACATGAATAAAAATCAAGTGTTGGTTTACATATCTCAGCACTTGACCTCAGCTGTACAGTTACTAAATCGTATTTCAATGCATTGCCATGTGGTTCTGATCTCCAACAACCCTCTGCTGGACTAAATAATGATGTGACCACTCGCTGCAGTGAAGGAGAGTGGCAGTGCTGTACATCAGAATGGCCATCTTGAGATATGACCCTCTTATCTCCTAAAAATCCTGGTATGCATGCTGCAGACATTTCCTCAATCTGGTGTTAGACATTTGAAGAAGTGATGCTTTCTGGATCCAATTCATTTGAATTAAATTGAATTTCTCTGACATAATGAGAAGACAATTGGTTTAAATTTAATGATAAGGCTATTAATTTAAATTTACTCACCATTAAATGCACAGCTCCCCAGACCAATTTCATACTTATGAAAAATGCAACCTGTTTAAGACCTAAAAAGTTGAATAGTAGCAATGGCTGTTTCAGAAGCTTACTGAATTAAATTATAGCTACTACTGTAGCTTCTAAAAATAACAACTCCTTCATGTGGATTTAGAACTTTCTCATCCGAGGATACACACTTACATTTTGATAGACAGAGCCAGAAACATTTTTTTTTAGTATGTCCTTACCTTTGGACAGTAATTTGTGCTACAGTTTCCCCTCCCATCATATATCATATTTTAAACCTGACTGAGGTTTCCTATGTTACAAATATCACGAGGGGATTGGTTAGCTCAGTTGGCTGGATAGCTGGTTTGAGGTGCAAAGTGACAGCAACAGCATAAATTCAATTCCTGTACTGGCTGAGGTTAACATAAAGGGCCCATCTTCTCAACCTTGCCCCTAGCGTAAGGCATGATGACCCTCAGGTTAAATTGCCATCATTTGACTCTCTTTAAAGAGAAAGCAGCCCTAGGTCCTCTGGGACTATGGCAACATCTTTCCTTATACCTTAGAAGTACTTTAAATGGCTCTAAGGCATTTCAAAATGTCATCTAGTCATGAAAGAAGCCATAAATTGATTTTTTTTCCTTTGTTTGTAAAATGGAGAAAAGAGTTTACTCCCATACTTTATTTTAGTATGTTGGTAAAATGTTGATACTAACATTCATAGCCCATTTGGCCCTCTGCACCTGTTCTGCCATTTAATAAGTTCATGCCAATCCATTTGTGTTTCAAATTATACGTTTCCACCTGCCCTTGATAACCTTTGATTCCCTTCTTTAACACGAATCTATCTACCTCTACCCTAAAAATGTTTAATGACCCTGTCTCCATCACCTTCTAAGGTAGGGAGTTCCAAAGTCTCACAGCCCTCAGAGAGAAAAAACATTCTCCTTAAAGCTGTCCTGAATGGGCAACCTCTCATTTTAAAACCATGCCCCTAATTCTGGACTCACGGACAAGGGGAAACATCTCTTCCAAATCCACCTTGTCAAGGCCCTTAAGAATCTTACATACCAATCAAATTACTCCCTCATCTTCTAACCTCCAGCGATAACAAGTCCAGCCTGTCCACCTAACCTCATGAGACAACCCATTCATTGTGGGTATCAATCTTGGGAATGTCCCCCAAACTACCTCCAATGCATTTTATTATTCTTTAAATAAGGAGCGAAAAGCTGAGATGTGGTTTCATTAATACCATGTATAACTGAAGCATAACATCTTTTCTCCTGAGTTCAATTCCTCATAACAAAGGATAGCATCCTATTCAAAGGCAAGTAAAAGCAAAATACTGCAGATCTGGAAGTCTGAAACAAACATAGAAAATGCTTCAGGAATTCAGCCGGTCTGGCAGCTTTTCTGGAGAGCGGAACAGAGCTAATGTGTCAAGTCTGCAGTCTATCAGAACTCAAACTCAGTTTTAAGAAAAATCATACTGGACTCAAAACATTAACTCTGTTTCGCTCTCCAAAGACAATGCCTGACATATTGGGTTAAAGTTTTCGCTTTTGTCAGAATTGAAAAATTGCACTCAAAATGCCTTTGAAATTGTGGTTTAGGTACACCAGATTTTTGGTAAAATTCATTGACTTAGTAACATTTATAAAACTTTTTATGATCTAACACACTCAACAGAATTCATTTCTTAAATACGTTCTTTGCAATTAAGAATTGTAAACTGGATTTTGATTGTCATTGAAAATTTGTTTATCACTAAATATGAGCGATTTTTATAATTGTCTGGTACTCAAGCTGTGAGTAACCCTGATTTGAAATCACTAAAAATATATTTTAAGAATCTAAAATGGATGATTCAGTAAATAGATGCATTTCTGTACACCGGTTAATTTTATAATAAATCATATTTCTGATATGACTTTTAAGAATGCACCTCCAAGGGTCTGTCATTCTAAGAAAGTGAATGCAGTCTCAAACTAGAGCAATTGGTCATAAAAGTGAAGATATCAGCCTTTTATTTTCAGGCTGTTAAGACCGGATTCAAATTCGTACACTGCTGTGGTGAGAAATGATCTCTTGTTCCCTGGATTAATGGACCAGTAACATAGCTATGACGCCGCATTGTACATCTGTCAAGTGTGCACCCTGCATTCAATAGGACAAGACAGCAGAGCCCAGTACAGAAACACATGTCCCACTTGAGTGCATGACTAACTGTATGCCTGAATGAGCTAAGTGCAATTGCTTCCATGGAAACTTGGTAGTTGTTAAAGGCACCAACCTTTGTATCATTGCTCCATCAGGGCAGTTGTATTGCAAGGATAACATTTCAGTACCTGTGATCACTCGAACTGCTTAACCCTGCTCAACAAGTTGATTCATTCCTAGAAGATGAAGAATAACACCAAGAAAGCATATCCCACCATTGCAGCTCGTGAGAAAGGTAACCTTTTGCTCTGGCATTAATAATTTCCTTGTAGTAATTAAAAGACTATGTGAACAACTTTTCTCAATTCAGTCACAATTGAAATAAAGATGTGCTGAATAAATCCAAAGATAGTTATTCAATAGTAATATTTAAGTTACAGTAAAAACTGCAGTTGCTGTAAGTCAGCAACAAAAACAGAAGTTGCTGGAAAAGCTTGGCAGGGTCTGCTCTCAGAACTGCTCTGAGGAAGGGTCACCGGACCCGCAACATTAACTCTGACTTTCTTCACAGATGCTGCCAGACCTGCTGAGCTTTTCCAGCAACTTCTATTTAAGTTACAGTTACTGCTATAAAGCATACTTGAATGTTAAAGGTTATAGAATGGAATTAAAGTTTATACTTATCATTACATGTTTAATTTTGTAAAATACTTTTAGTCTTCTATATGAAACCGTTTTCATTAGTAAGGATGCTGATAGACAGAGGAAACATATTTAAGATAAATGACAAGAGACCCAGAAGGGAGATGAGGAGAATTTGTTTACACAGTCAGTGTTACGACCCAGATTACATAGCATGCAAGCTTGGTGGATCAACAGGTTTAATAACTTTCAAAAAGGGAGTTGGATATATACTTGAAGAGGAAAAATCTGAAATCTGAAGGGCCTTGTGCAAAAAACAGAAGACTATCACTAATTGGACAGGTCCACTAACAACCAGCAAAGCCCAGGCTAAAATATCCTCCCGCTGTGCTGTACAAACCAAAAACTGCAGACAATATTGAAGTATACATAATTCCATTCTGAACTACAATGCAGCCAGTAACTACAGTTCCTGTTCTATATTGGGCTTTCACTCTCAAAGCAAAGATTCATATTCTGTTTTATAATTGTCACCTCCAATACTGATACGTTTAAAGCAGAATAAAATATCAGTATTGCAACAATTTGCAAAGTATAGGGCAGGAAAAAACTGAAATTCAGAGCTGAGGAATGTTCGATTACAGTTTGATGTATAAACCTGGAATCATTTGATCAATATAAGTGCTAGATAAGAATATTCAGATAATTAAACTTGACTGATTTTGGAACTTTAAACGAAGGCCTTTTTTTCTTTCAGTGCTCACCTGGGTTATGGTGCCATTCCAATCTGTGTGTAATTATCCCTGTATCCTGTTCAACTTGCTAGTAAATTTTGAATGAATATCTATTATATGATGCATATACCAAAAACTCAAATGGGAAGGAAAGTTTAAGGGTGTCACATCTTAGTCAAAGTATTCTTCCATTTTATTTTGAAAAGAATATAAAACTTTTCATTAATAGCAGGTTCCTCCATAGTATAAAAAACATGAGTCTCTGGGCCTCTTCCTTGTAGTTGCTATGGCAAAGATACGGAGGGCACAGTACGCTGGAACTGTTTCAAAAACATAAAAGTGCTGGAAAACATGTTACTGAATTAAGCCATGCCAACTTATGTTTGGGAACATTCACCTTAGAGTCAGAGGATTGCAACTTTAAACTTCCACCTTCCACCCTAAGACTTGAGCACTGGTTTTGAGGGAACGCGCATTGCTACAGGTGCCTTACAGTGGATTTGACATATGGCCTTGTCTACCTGCTCAGATGGATGCCAAGGATACTGCTGTAGTCTTTGCAGAAGACCAATTGTGTCAACCAAAATAAACAGCTGTCCATTAATTTGCTGCTTCTCAGGTCTTGTTGAGAACAATTAGTCTCTTACATAACTACAAAAGTTGTTAAATGTCTGTCAGCACCCTGACAGATAAGACAAGACAATATGCAAATTATTTGTCAGATATACTGCAAGAATTCATTTCAGAGAAAGATATTACATAGATGGGTTACTTAGCTGAAAATAAAACATAAAAAATGCAAATTATTCTAGTATTTGTGTAACATTCTACTCTACTATTTGCCCATTTCAATCTCATAGGGAAATATTGGCCAGGATTTAATTCTTTAAAAATGATGTGTGCAGATAGCTCTTATTTTTGTTTACAAGAAAACCCAGACCAACAGCAATTCTCTAGGATCACATGATATGCTTGTGTTGCACTAACTTCTCCAAAGCATAAAAGCAGGAAGGATGTTCTGATGGTGGGGGAGTCCAGAACCAGGACTCACTTGTCTAGGATGTTCTGATGGTGGGGGAGTCCAAAACCAGGGCTCACTTGTCTAAGGATACAGGGTAAACCATTTACAACTGTGATGAAAATTTCTTCACCCTGAGAGTGGTGAACCTGTAGGATTCACTTTCACAGAAAGCAGTCAAGGCAAACTATTGTATGATTTTAAGAAGAAATTGGATATAGCACTGGGGGCTGAAAGGACCAAAGGAAAACTACTGAGTTGGATAACCAGCCATGATCTTAATGAACAGCCTCGAAGGGCTGAATCATAGAGAATAACCCCTACAGTGTGGAAAGAGGCCCTTCGGCCCAACAAGTACACACCAACTCTCTGAGCATCCCACCCAGATCCATCCCCCTGAACACTTTGGGCAATTTAGTATGGCCAATCCATCTGGCCTGTGCGAGGAAACCAGAGCACCCAGAGGAAACCCACGCAGACACAGGGAGAATGTGCAAACTCCACGCAGACAGTCACCCGAGGGTGGAATTGAACCTGGGTCTCTGGCACTGTGAGGCTGCAGTGCTAACCATTGAGCAACTGTGCCACTCACGCTCCTATTTTTCTGAGTTTCAATGTTTAACTCCTGATTCAAGATTTCAGCATGTCTGAAATAATTCTGTGAAACAGTTCAACTGACTTATTCACCTAGGTGTTTTGCTGTGATTTAAATAAAAAGGTAAACTTGGAACAATGAAGCACCCATTTTATTCTATCCACTTGAAACGAAACGATGGGCTAAATATTTCTCACTAATACATACTGCAACCTCTCTATATTTATGACTAGACATCTCCACAGCAGAACATGCACTAGGAATGATCAAAATTGCAGACCTCAAACATTATGTTATTTTCCCGACATTAAATGTGACCTGAAATTCATAACAGATAAATTCAGAATGGGTCAGAGATTCAGACCAACCTTTACTTAGACGCTATCTGTCAATGAAATAAAGTAATGTACTTTTTCTGAACAATGCAAAGTTTACCACCACATTGTGTGTGAGTTTTTAAAACAGGAACCCTATCTGGAAGCCAGCCCGAATGGTAGCATTGACTCCAGATCAGGCAGCCCAGGACCAGGTTATTTCAGGCTGATTGGGGTATAGATTACAAGTACTGGTGAGTACAATATTGATTATGAGACTACGCATGATTGCAGGGGTTTGCAATGTGACTGTTAGAGCGACAGTTGATGACTCGGGGGGGTTACTCAATCATGGGGGTGGAAGTGGGGATTGCAGGAGTTTTGATCACTGGGCAGTCTAATTGTGAGAGAAGGGGGCAATTGCTGTTAGTGGTCCAATTGTGCGGAGGGATGCAAGGTAGATTGAGGAACCCGGGAGAAGCATTCCAGGGTGATTAATGCAACACTCACTGCTAGTGTCTGAAAGGTGTTTCCTCTCTATAATGAACTGCGATGTCTGCCACACTAATAGACTAGGATGAGATATTTGACAAGAGGATGCAGTACATTCTCTCTGTCCAAAACTGGGAACACATTAAATAGTCTATACACCCTTCCTGAAGGTTAATAAAATAGACATTCTCTTCCAAACCAATAAGAGACCAGTGGAGATAGAGAAATGTGTTAATGCCCTAGAAAACACAGAGCACCAGTGACAGGAAAATTGATTCAACCATGAAATATTCCTGCTGGGCTGAGGGAGCTGCATCTCCGTCCAGTGTGTTGCTCCCATCTTATGTTTGCCTCAAACTTAAATTACAGTATAAATATGTACAACCAAGCAGTACGGTGTAACCTTTGTTAATATTATAGTGAGAATGTACCTCAGTTACATTGTACAGGCCTATTTTAAAGAAAATTTGTGTGCGGACTTCATCACGTAAAAAACTTAGATTTAAAAATGTATTAGACTTATGGTAATAGTTTAACTTGTTGTCAGTTTTCTTGTTTATTTGCAATGTTTGGTTCCTTGGGAAAACAAAACTTCTCTCACATTCATGAGGGACCTCCTGTGGTGTGTCCATACAGAATCAAGATTAGTTATGTATTAGAAACGTACCTCATGCAGGCAAATCACAGTTTGGCTCAAAGCCAAGTTCAGGTGTTGAAACCAGTCAGGGCTAATAATTAAAGTAACTATGAACATCTAACAAATTATTATTCTGACTTCATATGAATGCTGTCAAACAGTTCATTCTTTTGTTAAAAAATGAACATGTGGAAAGTGGTCTGACGAACCACAGTCTAAAACTCACAAGCAGTTCAATTGAAAATCTTGACTATGTGGGAGATTTGAAGCAGGAGTTCAGCAGGCAGATGAGTTTGTAACAGCTAAATCATTTTCAGTAGCTGTCATTACCACTGATGACAATCTTCCATTAACATAAAAAAATTGCTGAAAGTAATAAAGTACAATTCCACAGGATCAATTTATATGTTCTTAGAGTAGGATGGTTCCATTTAGTCATTTTTTTACGTGAAACAAAGTCTTGCCATTCATAGAGCACTTTTCACTGGACATCTCAAAGCACTTTCCTGTAACCTTTTGTTTTAGAAAGAATTCCCATTCTCTCATTTTATCTAGGGCCTGGACCAGGAAGATATGGACTACCCCCAGCAATTGGGTTTGTGGGACATGATTATACCAAACACACAAATCCAGCTTACACATTTGGGAAAAAACACAGCAGTGCGTGTAAGTAATCAGAATTCAACTAATAAAACAACCATCTTTTCTCTATAGTGTGACAAATCTGAAACACATTCTGTCAAAAAACATAGTATTGAGAGAATTTTACAGGTTATTTTGGATGGTCCAATGGTGCAGTGATAATGCCCCTATCTCTGGGCCAGAAGCTTTGGGTTGCAGGCCCACCTCTGGACTTGATGGCCATGGAAAGGGCATTCATAACATTGCCAAACAAGTTGACTGTTCATAAGAGTGGGACGGTTTTCTAGTCAGCCATCCTGCAAAAGGAAATGACATACCATTGCAGTTGTCCATTAATGAGGACCAATCCGATAGAAATGCATGGCCAAACCCTTGGAAACAAGAATGGAAGAATTGACAAACATACGTAGGTCATTGTTTCAGTGAAATAACTAACATTTCAAATCTACTGTCAATAATCTGTCCAGTAAAAACAAAATTATTTCTTCCTCTTAATTATTGTGTTTCTATTATGTGCCAACTGTCATTCGGAAAGATGATTCTTACATAAATACTATTTGCAATTTTTGAGAATGTGGAAAACAGAATCGGGACAATCTTCCTGCTATCAGGATTGCTGTTTTGCCCAGTGGATGTGTGTGTGAATCCAGGTCTACATCTACACTCATCTACAGCCTAAGTCCATTGCCTGGACAGTATGTGCAACCATACAAGATAATGATAGGCTAACTACTGAGCTTGTCACTCAACATGACCTAGCTAAGGATAGCTAAATAACTATGGAGCAGTTGCTTTCAACTATTCAGATGTGAAGTTGAAATATTTTCCTTTCGCATTTTGGGAATAAATCACATAAATGTTCTTTCCACAATATATAAATAACAGATTCTGTACCTCCATTGAAACTTGCAAATAATTTACTCTAATTACTTTGAAAAACAATCTATTTGACACTGTAAATTATTATAGATATCTAGCTGCATTATGTATGCCTATAATTACTTTGTCCATCATTTTAAAGGAGATTTTGGGCACAATAATTAATTATATGGGTACATTGTGTTATTGTATGTTAATTTTTCACATGATAATTTATAGGCACTTCTGTGAAAGTTAACTGTGCCTGCTCCAGTGATTTATAATCCACTTTTGAGTGGATTGTTGTAATATTATTGCAGGTTCTTGATAGCAAAAACACTGTCACTATTGGTATTAGATCAAAACACAAGCATAACCTGCAAGAGGTTACAAATGAAGAATATGTAGAAGAATATGGAAGCATGTTCTAATTCAAATTCAATATATTTAAGCTGTCACAAAAAAAACTTTCATGTATTTAAACTCTCTCTTGACAGTGTACGAAGTCAACTGCAGTCCAGGACCTCGGTATCACGTTGATCCAAAGATTACACGATTTGGTAGGAATGGAACACCCGCATTCTCCATATTAGGAAGAGTGAAAACCTCTGGTGAGAAAAGCTATCAATAAATACAATATCGATCCCTTTAGGTTTACAAAGATTTTACTAACTCATCATTTGAGTCTTGTGTAACTTTTAAGACTTTGGAACACTGAAGAAAACAGAAAATTAAGTATAAAAGGTTTAAAAATACATGATCCATTGGAGTTCTTGGATAAGAAGCATTGTTGAAGCAATATTACTGATAGTGATTGATGGTGGAATTAGTCAAGTATTTAAGCCCCACCCAGTAAAAATCATGTTAAAGTCTATTTGTGAAAATCTCTTGAGTCTTCTATGACATTCCTTTCATTGTTAGGCTGCTTAGTGGCAAGGTAGGTGGCCCATGCACACTATTCCATTCTGGTAACTCAAAATTACATCACATGTTCCTGATTGAACTGGCTCGTGAGACTTCTGCCCATTTCTAACAGAGATTTTTGCCCACTTCTAACAGAGACTTTGAACCCCTTTCCATTTCCAGACCACCACCAGTGTGGTTTCTATTTGGACAGGGGGAACAGGGTACTGAATGATCGACCACTATTTTAATTGTGCTACTATCTCATTCTTACACAGAAGAAGGATGAAAATCTGCCTGTGTTTTTCAAATGGGTTTTTGGTAAATAAAATAATTATGATATAAGCAAGATAGTCTGAGAAGACCACATGATCTGACCCCTAATCGGTTCCTAGTCAGTGCTGCAAAGATTTTTTTGGCTAATTTCCATGACAAATTCTCCTAATCTCCAGTCTTAACTGGAAGATTGGAGACTAGCATAAAAAACAATCCACAATGTTTCCTCATGGTTTCTGCTGATCTGCAGCCAAAGCTGTAGGGGATAAGCAGGAAACTCCAATGGAAATTTTACCCATATTTCACCAGGACCAGCAATTTGCGTGATAAAATGGCCTGAAGGAACCCTTGTCTCAGTCAATAATACAATTAGAATATTGTAGTTGATACCCCACTAAGGGTTATCAGGTTGGTTAGCTGTTTGAAAGGCCATGGTTTGAAGCCAACAACCATGAGGAGAATTTTAGGCTTCTACAAACCAAAGACTAGGGAACGGCCTTCACTCCAGTCTCATTCTAGATGACAACTGAGTCTCGGAGCTTCAGCCTCTGTATCCCAGGACTGTCTGGAGTGAGGTTCAAATCCCCAATCCCCAGTCTGTTGTCAAGTTCATGTAAGCAGAATGATCATTTGATCAAGAAACCACAGTTAGCCAACCTGTGGAGCCTTCTCCTAATGCAAGTTAAAGAAGAAAGAAAATTACAAAGTAAACTGCAGTATTTATTTTGATAGTATTCTGACTTATCACCTGATTAACATTAACTTTTTGGCCTATTCAGATGTTTCGCGAAAACCAGGAACACCTGGACCAGGCACATATAATCCAGAGACTGCACCCCACCTTAACGAGCACAGATCACCAGCGTATTCCATAGGATCCCGAACTAGACATCGCAAGGTGGATGTAGTTCCTGCACCTAATAGCTATACTCTTCCCTCTCTGATGGGACCAAAAGTTCCTAACAAGCCTTCCAGTGCTAGTTTCTCAGTCACTGGGAGGACAAAGAGAGATGATCTATCCAAAACCCCAGGGCCTGGCAGGTATAACCGCACTGACCCTAACATTTACAAGCGGAAACTTCCAGCCTACTCGATGCTGGGTCGATATGATTTGCCCACCTATTATACTCAAAAGCCTGGACCTGGAGCACATAGCCCTGAAAAAGTGACCATCCATAAGCCAAGAGTCCCAGCATTCTCAATGGGATTGAGGCATTCAGAGTTTGTCACTCCATTTATCATTGACATTTCAGATTGAGGTTAAACCTGCTAAGGTCTAAATTGAAATTCATATTGTCCATATTGAAATTTTTTTAACCTTAACATATGGATTCTGTAATCTTCAAAACTAATATCTAACTTTTATATTATTATATACTTTAATTGCTCTGTTCAATGGATTTTACAGGTGTCTTCTCACTTATATTGGTAAGCTGAAGTATATACATTGACTAGAAAAGCACTGATTAATTAAAATAGTACAATTATCAGGACAACATCAGTCTTAACTGTTTGAAAAATTAGTTAGTAGGCATTGACTGCAAATCCATCCAATCAGAAAATCATTTACTTAATACCAATGATGGTAGTTGTTTTGTAGATGTCACAATTTTCACTATTTTTGAAGGCGAAACTGTTCTTTTTCCTATCTGGAAATAGATCACTGCTTGAGATTTAAAGGAATGCATGGTAAATCATGCTAAAGACAACAGCTCTGTCAACTTACACAAAATGGTGGTCTAGTGGGCAGCAAAAAAGGGTATCTCAGCGTACAACAGGACCTTGATCAGATGGGTTGATGGGCTGAGGAGTGGCAGATGGAGATTAATTTAGATGAATTAAGGTGCTGCATTTTGGAAAGGCAAATCAGAGCAGGAGTTATACACTTAATGGTAAGGTCCTGGGGAGTGTTGCCGCACAAAGAGATCTTGGAATGCAGGTTCATAGTTCCTTGAAAGTGGAGTCACAGGCAGACAGGATAGTGAAGAAGGCATTTGGTACCCTTGCCTTTATTGTTTAGTGCATTGAGTAAAGGAGTTGGGAGGTCATATTGCAGCTGTACAGGACATTGGTTAGGCTATTTTTGTAATACTGCATTCAATTCTAGTCTCCCAGGTATAGAAAAGATATTGTAAAACTTGAGGGTGCAGGAAAGATGTACAAGGATGTTGCCAGGGTTGGACTGTTTGAGCTACAGGAAGAGGCGGAATAAGCTGGGGCTATTTTCCCTGGAGCATCGAAGGCTGAGGGGTGAAGTTATAGTTTATAAAATCATGAGGAGTATGGATAAGGTAAACAGCCAAAGTCTTTTCCCCAGGGTAGCGGAGTCCAAAACTAGAGGGCATAAATTTAAGGTGAGAGGGAAAAGATTTAAAACGGACCTAAGGGGCAACTTTTTCATGCAGAGGGTGGTGCATGTTTGGAAAAGCTGCCAGAGGAATAGTGGAGTCTGGTACAATTACAAAATTTAAAAGGCATCTGGATGAGTATATGAATAAGAAGAATTTAGAGGTATATGGGCCAAATGCTGGCAAATGGGACTAGATTAATTGGAATATCTAGTTGGTGTAGATGAGCTCGACTGAAGGATCTATTTCCATTTTGTACACCTCTATGACTCTATGACTGGATGAGTATGAACAGTGAGTCCCAGTGGATCTTTTCATGGAGTACCTCACAGCCAACTGGATGATCAAATAAAGGATTAGAAATGAGAAGCGTAGGCAGTTGTTTTCTATTTGACATTGAAATTGTCTGAACTCAGCAAGACAGGAATTAAAGCTGAGACTTCCTCAAGGGAGTGGATTAGTAAAAGCCCAAAATTGATCATGGAATATTTCTTCAAATCTGAGTTTTCAGCATCATAATATTTAGTGCAGTTATTCTTTCAATGGTTAAAAAAAGCTTCTGTTTATTTAACATAAATAGTGCAATATCAAACTCAGCCACCAACTATTTTGGAACGCTGGTCTCACATACAGGTGTTACATTATCATTAGTAAATTGTGTCAACTGTTTTTAGGTATTTATCTCCCTTTTTCTCTGCATCATGTTCCTTCTTGATTCTTCCTGTATTCGTTGGTACAAATGTCATACTGTTTTGCAACAAAACTGAGCTTGCTACATATTATTTGTTATCTCGCAATCCATTCTATTTCCTTTTGTTTTTAAATAGTACTGTAGCCTGGAACAGGCTGTCTCTAAGACCCTACAGCCTCCTCAACCAGTGTACACAATATTAATTTACCCAGGCACCAGCATGTATCAGGGAAGGACTATGCAGCGCAAGTCAGCAGTCAGTGAGCCAGGCCGCAACTTTATTTGAAGACAATAAAGGTTAAGAGTTAAACTTTACATTTTTAACAACTCTAACTATCCAATTCTTTAGAAACTTAAAATACTTCCGAGATACTTGTAACTTCTGTCAAATTGTTCAGCCTGTTCCTCTCTTCACGGGCTGATTCTTTCTGGTCAGAAAGTGAACTGCCCTAGTCACTGCTGTATCCCTAATGTGCCTGTAGGTAGGCTGAGGAGCGGGGTTCTCCCAACTCTTGCCAGGTTGGGTTATTATATCCTCCTGGATACCTTCTGGAACTTTCTAAGGACTTGACCAATCAGAGGTATCAAATTAATTGGCTTTATCTCCTCGACATGCTGCTAACAGCTCTCGATGGCTTGCTTAACAGCAACCCCATTGATGTGTCTGTTCTTGGGCTTGGAAGTCTGGTTTCATCCCATACCATAGATATTCTTTTGTCATACTGAGGCATGTCTGCCCCACGCATCTAGTGTTGTTTGTTTGTCAGGAAGGGTTGAATTGCCCTTTCACACTTGCTAATGTATCCTGGTGCTTCTCTGGTTATAATTGGGGTGGCATGGTGGCTCAGTGGTTAGCATTGCTGCCTCACAGCACCAGGGACCTGGGTTTGATTCCACCCTCAGGTGCATGGAGTTTGCATGTTCTCCATGTACCTGCATGGGTTTCCTCTGGGTGCTCTGGTTTCCTCCCACAGTCCAAAGATGTGCAGTCTAGGTGGGTTGGCCATACTAAATTGCCTGTAGTGTTCAGGGATGCCTAGATTAGGGGGTTATAGGGAGATGGGTCTGGTTGGGATGCTCTGAGGGTTGGTCTGGACTTGTTGGACTGAAGGACCTAATTCCACACTGTCAGGATTCTTACAAAAAAAAAAATTGTCTGGGCTTAGTTCTTTAAAGGACTAGCCCCTAGGCAGAATTGTCTCATGTCTGCCTTGGCTCAGGCGTTCCCAGCATGCTTTGCTTTTTATTGCCAGTTTTGATGATCTGTTTATTTCAGTTGCTGTGCACGTTTTTCTGGCCTCCCTTCTTAATGATTTTTAGAGAGTGGTGAGTGTCTGGAATGGGCTGCCAGAGGTCATGGTGGAAGTGAGTACAATTTTGTCATTTAGAGTCATAGAGATATACGACACAGAAACAGGCCCTTTGGTTTAATTCGTCCATGCTGACCAGATATCCTGTATTGCCAGTATTTGGCCTACATCTCTCTAAACTCTTCCTATTCATATACCCATCCAGATGCCTTTGAAATGTTACAATCGTACTTGCCTCCGCCACTTCCTCTGGCACCTCTGTGTGAAAAAGTTGCCCCTTAAGTCCCTTTTATATAAACCTCTATAAGGTCACCCCTTAGCCTCCGACGCTCCAGGGAAAATAGCCCCAGCCTATTCAGCCTTTGTCTATAGTTCAAACCTTCCAACCCTGGCAACGCCCTTGTTAATCTTTTCTGCACCTTTTCTAGTTTCACAACATCATTACTATAGGAAGGGGGACCGGAATTGCATGCAATACTCCAAAAATGGCCAAACCAATGTCCTGTACAGCCATAATGTGATCTCCCAACTCCTATACTCAATGCACTGACCAATAAAGGCAAGCATACCAAACACCTTCTTCACAATCCTATCTACCTGTGACTCTACTTTCAAGGAATTATGAACCTGCACACCAAGGTCTCTTTGTTCAGCCACACTCCCCAGGACCTTACCGTTAACTGTACAAATCCTGCCCTGATTTGCCTTCCCAAAATGCTGCACTGCACATTTATCTAAATTAAACTCCATCTTCCATTCCTTGGCCTATTGGCCCATCTGATTAAGATCCCATTGTACTCTAAGGTAACCTTCTTCACTATCCACTACACCTCCAATTTTGGCATCATCTGCAAACTTATCAACCACACCTCCTTTGTTCACATCCAGATCATATATATAAATGACAAAAAGCAGTGGACCCAGCATTGATCCTTGTGGCACACTGCTGGTCACAGGACTCCAGCGTGAAAAGCAACCCTCCACTATCACCCTCTGTCTTCTACCTGTGAGCCTGTTCTGTCTCCAAATAGCTAGTTCTCCCAGTATTCCGTGTGATCTAACCTTGCTAACCAGTCTACCAAGAGGATGAAGTCCATATAGATCACATCCACCACTCTGTCATTAATTCTCTTCGTTACTTCCTCAAAAAACTCTATCCAGTTAGTGAGACACAGTTTCCCATGCACAAAACCATGTTGACTATTCCTAATCTGTTCTTGCCTTTCCAAATACACGTAAAGCCTGTCTCTTAAGATTCCCTCCAACAACTTGCCCACCACCACCATCAGGCTCACCGGTTCAGTTCCCTAGCTTTTCCTTACCATCTTTTTAAAATAGTGACACATTAGCCGATCTCCAGTCTTCCGGTACCTCACTTGTGGCTATCAATGATACAAATATCTCAGCAAGGGGCTCAGCAATCTCTTTCCTTGCTTCCCAGAGTTTTAGTGTACCCCTGATCTGGTCCCGGGAATTTATCCACCTTTATGTGTTTTAAGGCATTCAGCACCACCTCCTGTAATATGGAGATTTTTCAAGATGTTGCTATTTATTTCCCCACAATTTCTACCTTCCATATCCTTCTCCACAGTAAACACTGATGCAAAATACTCATTTAGTATCACCCCCATCTACCGCGGTTCCACACATAGGTGGCTTTGCTGATCTTTAAGGTGCCCTATTCACTCCCTAGTTACCCTTTTGTCCTAAGTGTATTTGTAGAATCCCTTTTGATTCTCCTTAACGCTATTTGCCAAAGCTATTTCATGTCCCCTTTTTGCCCTTCTGATTTCCCTCTTAAGTATACTCCTACTGCCTTTATTCTCTTCCAGGGATTCACTCAACACTTGTTGTCTGTACCTGACGTATGCTTCCTTTTTTATCTTGACCAAAACCTCAAGTTCTCTTCTCATCCAGCATTCCTTACACCTACCAGCCTTGCCCTTCACTTTAACAGGAACATACTGCCTCTAGACTCTCGTTATCTCATTTTTGAATGCTTCCCATTTTCCAGCCGTCCCTTTACCTGCAAACATCAACTTTTGAAAGTTCTTGCCTCATACTGTCAAAATTAGCCTTACTCCAGTTTAGAACTTTAACTTTTAGATCCAGTCTATCCTTTTCCATCACTATTTTAAAACTAA